TCCCACCCTACCCCCAGCTCGTTAGAATGCTGTAGGCTGGGGCCCCTCTGGCACTTGGGTGGATGTGGTGCGGTCCTAGGCTGCATTTGTCCTCACAGGGCTGTGGTTCCTCCACAGGGGCCGTAAGCTGACACCTCAGGGACAAAGAGATCTGGACAGAATCGCCGGACAGGTGAGGCTGTTGGGACAAGGACAGGGGCTCTGGGTGCAGCTGGCCAGCTCCGTCACCCTCTAGGCATACTGGAGCATCATATTTTGGGACCTTCAGGGGATTAGGGGTTGCCCTCAAATAGTCTCCACTTCCAGGGAACCTGAAAGCTGGGGGAGGGTTCTGTGAAGTGGGAGGCACCTGGGGTTGCCTGGACCAGAAACAAGGACCCTTGAGGCCACCAGGTGGGGTGTGGGCACAGGGTGGCGGGCAGAACCGATCACAGGTCTCCACTCATCTCCTCTTCCCTACAGGTGGCTGCTGCCAACAAGAAGCATTAGATTCTGATGCTGCTGGTTAATAAAGCGCCTCATTCGTACCCTGGTCTGGGCCTCATGACTGGCTCTCCTGGGGGGAGGAGGTGGACTGTGACCCCAGAGCTCACCTGCTTGTCAGCATCCTGCCTTGGCAAGCTCCCAGAGCTGAGGATGGAAGACACATGGGCACCCCTGGCACGGTTGGGTTCCGCTGTGAAATGGGACGGGACCTGGAATCAGACCTGGCCTTGGGCCATGCCGTTCAGGTTCAGATTCCAGTGGTGGCAGGGGGCTGAGATGTAGGGCACTGGGTTCAGGAGGTCTGAGGCACGGAGCAGAGAGATCTGGCAGCCAGACACTTTGCAGATGGGCACCTAGAGTGCTTCTGATTTGGAGAGAGGCAAGGAAGTCACAGATGGGTTGCTCTGAGGCCAATTGCCCCAATTTAGCTGGTTGAGGATAGAGGATCCAGAGGTACAGTCCACTTATTGCACCAAGCTTAAGCTGCGGATATATCTACGTTCCCTGCAGGCCGCCTGTCAGCCACTAGGGGGCAGTCGAGGTTCATTAACCTGCCTCAGGAATGAGGCAGGCATGTGCTATTCAGCCTGGCCTAGAGCTTTCAGGTGTTGGGATGTACCGCCTTCGCCTGAGGAAAAGGGGCTGCTGTGTCCAGGATTTACTGAACAAGCTGTGCAGAGCGGGATTGTGTCAGTAATGGAAATAAGAGAGCCCCTTCAGTTGTCTTGGGTGAAGTTCAGCAACGGCATTTGCAGGTGTGGGTGATAAGCACCCTTGGGCTTGCACATTTGGTGGAATGGGGCCAGCATAAAGGGACAGGGGGAAAAAAAAAAAAAGGACAGGGAAGCCTGCTTAGCTTGCTGCCACACATCTCGCAGGGATTCCAGGTCCAATACCTGGCAACACCAGATGTGGTCCCAAGCCCTCAGGTTCCCCAAGTAGGGATACCTCCCCTGAGGTTTCCATCTGAGCTCCAGACAAGGGGCTGGAGTGACTTTCAAGCCAGTCAGGTATCCTGCTCTGTTTTTTTTTTTTTTTTTTTTATTGAATCACTGTGGGAAAGGTTACAAAGCTTTCAGGTTTATGTCTCAGTCATGCAAATATCAAACACATTTCCCTTTACCAATACTTATTTTTTACCATGAAGAACCCCAATAAAACCCCTCCCCGTCCCTGTGAGGCAGATGAATTCTAGTTAACACTATCTGCTTTGATTAGATTCATTGTTTCAATAAAAGATTCACCACTATTATTTAGAGTTTACCCCCCCCCCCAAATCAGACATGCTGAAAAAGCATTGTGAAGTGATTTGCTTTCTACGGCTGGGTTCAAGAATTAAATGTTGGTTTTGGATTTCTGCTCTTTTACCTATTGACCCTGGAAGTATTTCTACTGAAAGTCAGATAGTTAAGAAATTGGTTTCTGTGTTCTGGAGTCGTGGCCGTGCTGGAGAGCCGCTCGCGGGGGGCAACCGGTGGCCTCCGTAGGGCGTGAAGGGCGGAGCGAAACGCCCCCCTTCCCATGAGGTTTTAGTCGCCCCCACACTCCCGGCTCATACCTGCTGTCCACAAGGCTCCCATGTTGCCGCCATCTTTCTTTCCAGAGAGGAGAGGGCGAATGGGGCAACACCCTTTCCCCTCCGGCAGACTTGATGGCCTGGATCAATGCATAGTCCGTTCACTTTTCTGCTCCAAGCTGCTGTGTTCTGCATTAAGTCCTTGTGCTTCTGGGGCCGTGGCCGTGCTGGAGAGCCGCTCGCGGGGGGCAACTGGTAACCTCGGTAGGGCGTGAAGGACGGACCAGAACGCTCCCCTTCCCATGAGGTTTTAGTCGCCCCCACACCCCCGGCTCATACCTGCTGTCCACAAGGCTCCCATGTGGCCGCCATCTTTCTTTCCAGAGGGAGGAGGGCGGAAGGGAGCAACACCCTTTCCCCTCTGGGCAGAAATGATTGCCTGGATTAACGCATAGTTCTTTCACTTTTCTGCTCCAAGCTGCTGGGTTCTGCATTATATCCTGCTCTGTTTATATGGTCATGTTTGGTGGCTTCACACTGCAGCTGAACAGCAGTCCTGCCTTCCCTGGGCTCTGCCACCTCATTCTGCCTATGCCGGGATTTGCCGCCCAGAGTCTCCCTACAGTGAGCACCTGAGGAACTTGGGTCCACGGACATGATTCACCTGCCCACGCAACATGACATGGCTCCCTCTGAGCCTTACTTCAGTTTCTTCAGATGGAGGTGGGATGCCTGGAACAAGGTTAAGACCTTGCACACTTGCAACCCTTGTTAAATCCCCAGTCCAAATCCCTGCCACTACGTAATGCCTACAAAGCAAGGCCAGGGAGCACTCCTGGGTGTGGTCTCCCTTGCCCAGCTAGCAGGGCAGTAGCTGACACAAAGGGACATGTAGTGCTCATGTGGTTCAAAGTCAGCTGCTGAACCCACTCACCCATCACAGCACGGAAATGACCTTGTGATGGGGAATATCAAGGTAAAGCCGGAAGATGGCTCACACCTGAATGCCTGTCTGACATGGATGAGACCTAAGATTTGGTTCCTGGTACCACCTGGGCCCCTGAGACTGCCCCGATTTAGCTAGCCCCCACACCACTTGGCCCAGGAATTGAAGCCAGGGGCCACATTGCTGGACTTGAGCATTAGTGGGCCCATCTCCCAAGCCTCAGATCCACAGCAGAGCCCACACAGGGACCCCTATGCTTGCCTGGAATGAACCCTGAGCACTGCCAGATGTAGCCCAAACCACTCCCCCCCCCCCCCCCCCAAATAAATCCATAGTGTGGGCTGGGGCCGGGGCTGTGACTCAGTGGTAGGGCTGGACAGAGAGTGCAACAGGTAAGGTGCTTGCCTTGCACATGGCTGACCCTGATTCGATCCCCAAAACCACATTGTGTTTCCCAAGTTCTGCCAGGAGTGATCCCTGAGCGCTGCTAGGTGGTGTTGCCCCAAAATAACAAAAGTAGGACCAGAGAAGTTGTATAGGGGGTAAGGGGCTTGCCTTGCACGTGTCAATCCTGGTTTGAATTTGTGGCACGACATACACTCCCACATGTATCACCAAGGGACCCCCCCGCCACAAACCCCAAACCTGCTGAGACCATCCCAGGAGATGGCCTCATCAATAAAATTCTCACTTCACCTTGCAAGCCTGCATACACCCAAGCGTGCACCCAGCCTGACCCTGGCAGCTGTGAGGGATGTGATCCCCAGCACCCGGTGCAGCTTCCGGCCACGCCCAAACGTGAGCAAGCACTGCAAGTAAAAGATTGTGCCCACCCCACCAATAACGTGTGTGCCCTGTGGGTACAACTGAAGTGTACCAGCACCACAACCAAGCATGCGTGCTAACTGCCCCCGCCCCCGCCCAAACCCCAGTTGGAGAAAAGGGGACAGTGCTGAGAAGTGCATTTCACAGCGGGATTGACTTTGGCCCCCTAATCCCTTGAGCACCCACCAGGACTAGCCACTTCCAGTGCCGGAATTCCCAACTCCTTAAAACCCCCGTTTTATTTTTTTTACACTTAATTTTTATTTAGAACTCCTTCACAAAATAAGAGGACTTTTGAACAAGTCCCATTTAAAGAAGTATATTCACATTGAGATTCAGTACTTTGAACTAAAATAATTGGAGGTTGGGTTGATTTTCTTGTTCATGCATCTGATGTTATGGCTCTCGTTGAAATACATGTAGATATATAAATTTTAAAACCCCCTTTTAATTAGTTTTTTGGGCTGGAGCGATAGCACAGCGGTAGGGCATTTGCCTTGCATGCAGCCAACATGGCCGACCCGAGTTCGATTCCTCCGCCCCTCTCGGAAAGCCCGGCAAGCTACCGAGAGTATCTCGCCCGCACGGCAGAGCCTGGCAAGCTCCCCGTGACGTACTCGATATGCCAAACACAGTAACAACAAAGTCTCCAATGAGACGTTACTGGGCCCGCTCGAGCAAATCGATGAACAACGGGAGGACAGTGACAGTGACAATTAGTTTGTTGGCATTTTTGATTGTACTTGGCAACACTCAGGGGTTACTCCTGGCTCTGCACTCAGGAATTACTCCTGTATATGGGACGCTGGAGATTGAACCCGAGTCAGCTGCGTGCAAGGCAAATGCCCTACCCGCTATAACATCACACCACCCCCTCAAACCCCCAGAGGTGAGAACTCGGGTGCTCTGAAAGGGGGACCAGTTTTGCCCAAGGTCCATGGACAGCCCCTCTTGTGCCCAGTAGCCCCAATCCCAGCTGCCTGGGGTTTCCAGCCGGCCAGCTCTGAGCAAGGCCCCTGTGCCCCAATCCCAGCCCTGGGGGAATTGTGGCCTTGCAGGTGCTGCGGTTTCTCTCAGGCCCAGCCCACCCTGAGCCTTGTTGAGGGACCAGTAGAGCCCATCTCCGGCCAGGCCAGGCAGGAAGTAGGGTGGGGCTTGGACACCAGTGAGGCGGATTCTGGTACCCCAGGACTGCTGCAGTCTAGACTGACCGCCTCACTGGGAGAAGATGTTGGGGGATCTCGGACTCTTCCAGACCTCTCCTGCCACCGTCTTCCTCATTTTGCTCTTTGCTGCTGACATGGGTATGTAGCCAGAAGGCCGACAGTGGGGAACGAAGAGTCAGGGAGATATGGGGGGGACTGTAGGCTGGGAACAAGGCCCAGGTCGAGGGAAGGGAACTGAAAGGTAGTGATGAGCCCTCAGGAAGGAGGTCTGGAGAAATGTATGCGAGGCTGGAGCAGGTTCTGTGGGGCTGGAGGGGAGCAGAAGCCGGACTCCCCAGCCCATCACCCCCACAGGTTCAAAATAAGGAACTCAGGTCACCCTTGAGCGGGTTCCAGAGCTGGGGACGGAAGGGGACGTTGGGGGTAGGAGGTCGCTTTGGGGTGCGGGGACTTTCTCCTCTGCTTGAATGCCACTGACCTGCCTCGCACAGGGAGTGACACTCCCAGGACCAGCTGACCCCTTGTCAGGGTGTGAATACAGAGTCAGAGGGCCTTCCAAGACTCCTGAGGAGCAGGGAAGGAGCCCCCCACTCCCTGAGATTGCTCCTTCTGTCCCTCCTTTTATCTTCCCTTTCCACTTGGGGGCGATGCTGAAAACCGGGGTCCCTGCTCACCTCTCTGGGCTCTTCCCTAGCCCCCAGCCCAGCCCAACCACTAAACCAACTCTGACCATCAGGTGGATACATGAGAGGGACAGAGAAAGGAGGGGCGGGCCCGGGCAACAGGACCCGCTAACCTAAAGACATCAGAAAAAGAGGCCCAGGGAGCTGCAATGGAAACTCCAGCCGTTCTGCGGCCCTGCCGATGCTGGGCAACAGAGCTGCCCTTCCTGAGCCTCCATTGTCCTGCCTATAAAATGGGGATAATAATAGAATCTTGGGAGGAGACGGGGTGTTGTTTTCTGTGCCCATGACACATGACTTCATGCCAGAAGGGCCTCCAGAAAGCAGTGCCTAAGCTGACTCTACAAGGAGCACTTGGATGGGGCACTGCTGTTTAAGTGTGGGGCAGGGACCATTCCAGGCATGAGAGGAGCGAGAGGAGCAAGGAATGAAAGACCGGGGGCAGAGGGTGGCATGGAATGGGCCGTGGCTGATGGGGGCTCTATCCCCATCTCAGGAGCCAGCTCTCCTCCCCCAGGAAGCCCCCCTCCCCTGGCTTCAGTCCCCTATCCCAGGGCTGTTTGTGCTCCCCAGGGAAAACTGGAGATCTCCCTCCAGGGGGCATCCTCCCAATGATGTACCACCATGGACACCCTTCCCACTCCCCCCATCCCTCGTCCCCGGCTGCAGTGCAGGGCCTTTGGGACCTTTGGGTGACCGTGGATGACACTCTTGTCCCTGCAGGCGCAGGCTCTGGGAACCTGGAGGTGACACCAGGCCCGCTGTCTCTGACAGTGGTTGAGGGCGACATGGCTCGCTTTGAGTGTTCCAACAATAGGAATAGCCCCAACATCACCTGGTGGTACAGTCTCCTCTATGCCAACCACTCGGAGGTCCTGAACAGCTCAAGTGGCAAGGTTGAACATATCATCAAGAAAGTGAAGAAAGAACATAGTGGCGTGTACTACTGCATAGTGATGGAAGGGAAACAGCGGGTGCGCTCCTGTGGCACCTACCTGCGCGTGCGCGGTGAGTGCCCCCCACCCCACCGCCCGCCCCGTATCCACCGGGGGACCGCTTCCCCCAACCCCCCCGACTCTGAACACAGCTCATCCCTGCAGAGCCAATTCCCAGACCCTTCCTGGACATGGGAGAGGGCACGAAGAACAACATCATCACCGCCGAGGGGGTCATTCTGCTCTTTTGCGCCGTGGTGCCCGGGACACTGCTTCTGTTTCGGGTGAGAGTGGCGGTGGGGGGCCGGGGACACCTCAAGAACTGGGAGAAAGATCGCACTTACCTTGTGGGGGCTAGGGGCTAGAGGATTGAGCACAAAGAAAAGGTCTTTGTTTATTTGGGCCTGGGGGGGGCACACCCTGCAGTGCTCAAGGGCTTTTCCTGATTCTGGGCTTGGGAGTGACCCTTGGTGGGGTGTTGGACTCTATGCAGTGCTCAGATGAAACCAGAGTTGGCTGAATGCAAGGCAAGCGCATTTCCTGCTGTACTATCTCTCCAGCCTGAGGAAGGGTTTTTGCTTTTGTTTTTTGTTTTGAGGCCACACCCAGCAGTGTTCAGGGCTGACTCTGGGCTCTGTGCTTAGAGATTGCTCCTGGGAGTGCTCAGGGGTTACTCCTGGCAGTGCTCAGGGAACTCCATGGGATGCCAGGGATTGAACATTGAACGTGGATCAGTCATGCACAAGGCAAATGCCCTACCCACAGTACTATCACTCTGCCCTCGTGGGGACACTGTGGGGGACTGCTGAGAGGACTCTGGCTAAACCAGAGATCTGCCACTTTTCCCACCCAATAAAACACTCCCTGGTGCCCAGAAGGGCCTGAAAACATCATCTCTTCCTCACCCCCCGTCCCCCCACAGAAGCGATGGCAGAACCTGAAGTTTGGGGTAGAGGCCCCGGATGACTATGAAGATGAAAATCTCTATGAGGTGAGTGGCAGGTGGGGCAGAGGCAGGAACGCTGCTAGAGGGGGGTTCTCCCTGGCATGGGCTGGGGGCAGGACCTCAGGACCAGGGAGCATCTGGAGTATGTCCCCCCGTTTCCCCACCAGGGCCTGAACCTCGATGACTGCTCCATGTACGAGGACATCTCACGGGGCCTCCAGGCCACCTACCAGGATGTGGGCAGCCTCCACATTGGAGACGTGCAGCTGGAGAAGCCCTGAGCCCACCAACCACCGGCAGCCCCTGCGCACCCCCAAACCCCAACCCCGACAGGTCTCTTCACAATCTGTCCAGTGTCCATTTCGCCTCAGGTTCACCCTTCTTCCTGCTAGACCATCCTCCCTCCCACAGGCCTACCCCCCCTATTTCCCCCTCCCCAGCATAATGAGCCCTTAATCGCTGCCTCTGGGGGAACTGATTGTAGCTGCCTCCTCAGTGTCCCCTCCCCCTGCTCTGTCATGGCCACTTAGTGATAATAAATCCTCCCTCACTGCAGACCCAGGCAGGAGTCACTGATCTCATAAGGACGCACTCCCTCCCGGCTCAGATCCAGGGCCCACCCAGTCCCTCCTCCCTCACACCAGACTCATCCCCATCCTTCCTCCCTCACACCTAGTCCATCCCTCCCCACCCCTCAGACTGAGTCCATCCCCCAGCCTCCTCCCTAGACCTAGGGGTCCATCCCCCAGCCTGAGGAGGTCTATCCCCAGAAGGTCTATCCCCCAGCCTCCTCCCTCAGGCTGAGTCCATCCCCCAGCCTCCTCCCTCAGACTGAATCCATCCCCCAGCCTCCTCCCTCAGGCTGAGTCCATCCCCCAGCCTCCTCCCTCAGACTGAATCCATCCCCCAGTCTCCTCCCTCAGACTTAGGGGTCCATCCCCCAGCCTCCTCCCTCAGACTTAGGGGTCCATCCCCCAGTCTCCTCCCGCAGGCCCAGGGGTCTATCCCTCAGTCCCTCCTCCCTCAGGCTGAGTCCATCCCCCCACCTTTTCCCTTAGACCTAGGATCCAGTGCCCAGTCCCTGCCAACTTTGTACCAGGCACCTGGCAGCCAGTCTCCTGGCATCCCCCACCCCTCCAAACAGGAACTACCTTGGGGGAAGTGCTTTGGGGAGCCCTGACTGGGGTGTGTGCAAGACACCCAAAGTGCTCCAGTACATGCTCTGCACACTCAGGGTTTGATCCCTGCATAGCAGGGTACACAGCAAATAAACTCCTAGAATGGTCTAAGCCCCCCACTTCTGCAAAATCCCCAAGTCAGAGGTTGGGGAGCAGCAGGGAGAGGCACAGCAGGGTGGGTGTGGGTGACAGGTGATCAAATGCAGGTGACAATGGGGTACCAAGTTACAACTGCACTGCGGCCAGGCCAGCGTACCTGTGCTGTAGGAGTTGGAGCTTGTGGCCCTGACCTGGGGCTGGGGGTAGGGGTCCTGGGGTGATGATAGAGAAAGAGTTTCTGAGTGGGACAAGAGACAGGGGGAGTGACACAGGGAGTCAGAGAGAGAAAGAGGGACCCAGAGGGAGCAGGGGACAGAGAGGAAAGAAGGGGTCCCGTCCCAGCAGCAGATGGAGACGGGGCTGAGATGGGGCAAGAGTGGGCGCGGCCGGGGGACCCAGAATGGCAGGGGAGGAGGGAGCGGAAAGCGACTCCGAGAAGGCACCTGCGGCGCGCGGGGGCCAGGCCGGGGGAGGGAGGAGTCCCGGGCGGAACCGCGGGCCCAGACAGTGGTCACCCCCGGGCAGTCGGGGCCGGGAGTGCCAGGAGCCGGCAGACCGACCCCCGCGCGGCCGCCCGACGGACGTTACGAACGGACGGACGGACAGACAGACTGCGGACAAAGCCGGGAGCGGTCGGGCGGGGCGGGAGGGCGGGGCCCGCGGCCGGCGAGAAGGGGAAGGAAGCGGAGGTGCCGGGCGGGCGCGGGGTGCCGGCAGGAAGCGGGAGGGGCGGCGGGGCGGGGGCTCCGGAAAAGCGCCCCGACTTCCTGCCCCGCCGGAGCCAGGAAGCGGGAGAGCCGGGACCCAGGGCCCGGGATCGCCGCGCCCGACCTCGGGCGCCCCGCCGGTCACCTCCCCGCGCGGACACCAGGTACGGCCCCGGCCCCGCCCGGCCTCCCGCCCCCCGGGTGCCGGGGCACGCGGGGCGGAGCAGGGAGGGCGCCGGGGCGCCGCGGCGCTGCAGGGGCCTCCTCCGCGGCCGCCGCTCCCCGGCCTCAGTGTTGCCCTCTGTCCAGGGGTGCAGGGAGGAGAGCGCAGACCTGCCGCGGCCGGGGGTGCGAGGCGAAGGCCCGTCCTCGCCGCCCCCGCCCAGCACCGAGGGGCGCTCCCCTTGCACAGGTGGGAAGACTGAGACCGGGGGGCGAACCCAACCGAAGCAAACGTTGTGAGACACCCTCCCCTCGCCCCACTCCCCACTCGCAGGTGCTGCCCTCCGCTCAGCGCGTGCCCCACCTTTTTTTTTTTTTAGGGGCCACCCAAACAGGGAGTGGGGGTGGGGAAGGGGAATGACAGCTCCCCAGCCCAGGCCGCCGTGACGCGGGGAAGCTGTGCAGAGGGGCTCAGAAGCGCCTTTTGGACAGCTCTTCTTGTGGGCCATTCGTGATGCCCCGGTAGGAGTAAGGCTGAGTTGGAGTTGGAGGTCCCCCATTGTCCGGATGGGAAGACTGAGGCCCGGCCATTAGTATTTGCTTTTTCCAGTTTACACTGCCCGTCAGGGGGCAGGAATGCCCGAACCCAGGGTCTTTGCTTTCCAGTTTCAGTGGAAAGAGTGGGAGGGGGCTGCTGGGGGGGTGGGGGTGTGTGCTGGGGGTAATTGGTGCACGAGCGACCGATGGAAGTTCAGCCGATCCCCGATTGAGGGAGGCAGGACGGGGGCGAGGGCCCGGGCCCGGGTCCGGGTCCCCGGAGTCTAGCAAACCCCCGACGTGCCCGCGGCGGTGGGCTGTGCACTGTCCCTGCCAGGGGGCGGAGGCAGAGGGCGGGGCCCGGGAGCAGTAGAGATACGGAAACGCCAGCCCTCCAAGACAGGCCAGAGCGGCCCTGTGTGGCCAGCGTGGCGCCGGGGAACGCTCGAGGGGCCGGTGGGAGCAGTCGAGTCGCCCGGGCTCGAGCCCGGGAGGCAGCGGGCTAGAGCGGCTAGCGGAAGGAGTGGCGCTGGGCTTCATGGTGGAATCGGGCTGCTCGGACGATTCGGAGTCGGAGGCTAGGTGGCGGGGTGGGAAGCCGGCGCGCGGAGGCTTCGGTTCTGGCGGCTGCGGTGGCGTCTCCTCCGACCAGGAGCAGGTGAGGGACGCGGCCCCCGGCGGGCGACAGGCCCCGGCTCCACGTCTGCCTCAGCATCCCTGGCTGTGCACCCAGCCACGTCCCCGTAGGAATGGGAGCTAGGGGAGTCCCGCCACGTTCCATGCAGACTACGGGGTCCTGCAGACCCCCTTCCCCCAGGTGCCTGCTAGCCCCACCATGACCACGTATAGACAGGGGCTCACAGTCGATAAATAGCATGTCCTTGAATCCGAGGACCCCTAGATCCCGGATCCTGGGATCGCCACACGTCCCTGGAGAATTCTGGTCCCTTATAAATTCTCGCGGGACCCCCATAGACCGACCTGTTTCCCTATGGAATCATGGTCCCGTGTGATCTATGTGTCAAGTGGAATCGGTGACCTAGAACATTCCGAGACTCCCCATGATTCCTCAGTATTTTCCGTACTTTAAAGCTCTCATTCCTACTTTGGACAAACTTGCAGGCTATCGAATGTAGCCTGCCCACAGGGCAGAGTCTGGCAAACTCCCCGTGGCGTACCCAATATGCCAAATACCAGTAACAATGATGGGTCTCATTCTCCTAAAGAGCCTTGAATATAATCTCAGGGCTAGGATGAAAGAGACGTTACTGGGGCCTGCTTGAGGCAATCGACGAATAACAGGATGATGAAATGAAAATGAAATGAAAAAGCTCTCAGAGGTGGGTCCAGAACAGTAGTACAGCAGGTAACCCGGATTAGAACCGGCCCCCCACATACGATTTTCTGAGTCTGGCCAAGAAGTGATCCCTGAGTCAGGAATAAGCCCTGAACACTGCGGGGTAGCACTGTAGCACTGTCCTCCCGATTTGCTGGAGCTGGCACCAAGAATGTTTCCATTGTGAGACTTCTTGTTACTGTTTTTGGCATATCGAATACGCCACAGGGAGCCTGCCAGGCTCTGCTGTGCGGGCGGGATACTCTCATAGCTTGCTGGGCTCTCCGAGGGGGACGGAGGAACCGAACCCAGGTCGGCCGCGTGCAAGGCAAACGCCCTACCCACTGTGCTATGGCTCCAGTCCTGAACACTGCAGGGTGTGACAACAAAGTAAAAAAAAGCTTTCTGAGGTGTTTGGAGACCAGGGTCACCCGCTTACTATCTTGTGCACCCAGAGCCCTGCTCCAGACTGTGGTCCCATGACTTCACCCACCTGTGCCCACTTTGTTCTAGGACCCTACCTTTGAGACCTTGTAAGCCGGGCCTGACCTCCACAGCTGGATGCGCATGGGCACTCCCTCTGCCGAACCCCAGACCTTCTCAGTTGCCTACAGACCCCTCGGACACCACCTGAAATCCCCCAGCCTTTGTGCGGACCCTCATAGCCCTCTCCCATCTCCTGATTTGCCGGCCCTCCCCCTCCCAGGGATGCCCTGGCTTCAGTGGACCAGCTAAGCCCAAGCTGCCCTCTTGCCCAGGCCTCAGGATCCCTCAGCCCGCCTACCCCGACTCCCACCCCTCCTGTTCCAGGAGACCCCATGTTTCAGAACTTTGCTGTGGATTTGAGTGTGCTAAGGTTGGGATGAGGCCTCTATACTCTAAAGGAACACGTGCTGCCTGGGTTTGACAACTGTCCTTGGGTGCCTCAGTTTCCTCCTCCATAACAGAAGTTTCAGATTAATGCTGAACTCCTGAGTCACCGGGAGGATTGACTGGGCGGAGACCTGGAATGGGAGTGCTGGGCACAGGTCGAGTGGCTCTGAGTATCCACTTAGCATTCGTGCTGCTTTCATTTTTTTGTTGTTGTTTCTGGGCCACACCCAGTCGTACTCAGGAATTCTGCTTCCCTGTTCAGGGATCACTCTTGGTGGGGCTCAAGGGATCAAACAGGGTCGGCTGTGTGAGAGGCAAGCTCCCTACCTGCTGCACTATCACTCCGGCCCCCTCACTCTGCCTTCTAAGAACGGTGATGAAGAGAGGAGTCCTGGGGGTTAGGCGATGAGGCAGGGCCTGCCTGGTACCCAGCCTGTGCTTGGCACGCGTGCCCTTCCTTTTGCCCTTCGGGGTCTCCCTGCCTCTGGAGCCTTCCCACTCTGCACTGGGATGCGAGTAAACCCTTCCCGGTGTGGCCACATTTTCCAACCTGGAAGTTGCCGCAGGGTGGCCTGGAGGAGCATGGCCATCTCTGAGGGGTACAGTGGTAGTGTGGGGGGTTGGGCCAGGGCGAGGGGACGGGGGCTGCCTGCCCTCCGCCCAGAGCAGGGCCTCAAGCTCTCCTAATAAATCATTACTCCTTCGCTGCCTCGGTTTGAAATTTTATTTTTGCGAGCCTGGAACAGTTCTCAAAGCTTAAATGCCCCTGATTTGGAGGCTGGGAAGATAGCCCTTGTGGAAAAGAATGACAGTGATCGCCAGAGAGTGCACAAGGACAAGACGCTTCCTTGCACGTGGCCAACCAGAGTTTGATTCCCAGCACTGGCAGGAGTGAGCCCTGAGCACAGATGCATGCGTCCCCAAAACTTAAAAAAACCACAAAACCCCAAATTAAAGTGATGTCTACTTGGGGGAGCCCCGAGGTTGGCAGGGAGCATAGCAGGGAGCTCTCTCCAGTGCTCAGGGAAACCCCGTGCAAGAAGGAACAGGCTGGGGGTTGGAGTGATAGCACAGCAGGTAGGGCGTTTGACTTGCATGCGGCTGACCCGGGCTTGATTCCCAGCATCCCATATGGTCCCCTGAGCACTGCCAGGAGTAATTCCTGAGTGCAGAGCCAGGAGTAACCCCTGTGCATCGCCGGGTGTGACCCCAAAAGAAAAAAAAACAGGAACAGGCTGGGTGATGGGTTATAAATAGTTTGAGGCTGCAGGGAGCCCTCTTTCCCCACTGTGGTCTACCCCACCCCTGTTTCCACAGCTCCTTTCTGCCTGACACCGGTCATGGGCTGGAGTGGTCGGGCTGGGGTGGCCGGCTGGGTGGCGTTAACCGGACTGAGGGAGGAAGAGTCAGGGAGAAGTGCAGGCTCCAGGGGGGACGAGCAGGTGGAGAGGCATTAGGGGCCGCAACCTCAACGGGTATGGGGACCAGGGCTGCCGCTGCTGGCTCTGGGGACAGAGTGAGATAATGGAGAGAGGGGGCCAAGGTGAGGTCGGGGGAGGGCAGGAGGGCAGTGGGAGCGAGTGAGCAAGTGAGCAGGCCCCCAGGAGGAGGAAAAGTCGGAGATAGAGAAGAGGTAGTGCGAGCAGAAAGCCAGGAGAGTCTCTGCGGTGACCAGGGTGAGGGATGCGGCCACCAGAGGGACCAACTGAGGACCTGTCCCAGATGCCTCAAAGACACTAGGTCCCTGAGGGACAGAACCTTTGGGTGCCCCGGACTCTGAAGGGGCTCTTAAGTAGGAGGGTTCTGGGGGGTTGTTTTCGGAGGTGGAAACTTGGGGGTTGGGGGACTTGCCGTTGTGACTTCCTGTCACCGGAAGTGGGGCTGGTGGGTTCAGAGGCAGTATCCTGCCCTCATCAGAGATCAGAGGCTTCTCTGCCCTGCCCGTTAGCGCTTCTCTAGCCTTCCCAGCCCTGCTTGGCTCCAGACTCAGCGCTCCCTGGACCCTGCCCTCCTCCCTCAGACCTGGCAGCGCAGGCCACTCCCCCAACTCCCCCCTCTCCCCCCTCTCCTCCTCCCTCCGACCCCGGAGTCCAGACTGCAGCTCCTCCTCCCTCTGGCCCGCAGCTCCCTCCTCTGGTAGGGGCTGGACACTGCAGGCTGCGGTGGATCCTGGCTTGGGGCCTCCAGCGGCCCCTCCCCACCCTCTCCCCAAGAGGCTCCCTGTCCCTGGGTCCCCGCCCTGCTGGCCTCTGAAGGGCTCTTTGTGGCACACAGAGGCCCCATTCAGCTGGAGGCCAGGAATGGGGGGGAGGCTGTTTACTCACCTTCACACCTGGGCCAGGAATCTGTGAGTAACCGCCCTGGTCGCCTCCTCCCCCCTAACGGCTGCCCCTCCTCTCCCCGCAGCCCTGCAGCGCCCATGGAGGGAGAGGACTGCGCCCGAGGGGTGGTGAGTAGACCGGGCGAGGGGGGGGGGCGCTGCAAGGAGACGGGGAGCACTGGGGCCTGAGGCTGCCTCTCCTTCCCACAGGCCCCCGGGGCTCCCCGGCCTGGCCCGGTGCCCATTAGCATCATCGGGGCCGAGGATGAGGATTTTGAGAATGAGCTGGAGACGGTGAGGGGGAGCCGGGGGAGGGGGCGGGGGGATGATGGGAGGAAAGGGGCGGTCCCAGGCTCTCCGGGGTGGGGGGGGCATCCCGCCCCACCCTCAGATGCTGCTTCCCTTCCTCCTCCCTCCCAACTGTCCCCTGGCACCTCTGTCCTCATTGGCACCCCAAGCCGATGTTGTCTCCCTGTCCCCCGCTTAGAGCCCGGGTCTGCCTTTGCCCCGCCTTCCTCCCCGCCCCCACCTTGTCACTTAAACCATCCCCGAGCCCGCCGCTTGCTGTCACGGCCCAGACCCATCTGGAAGTGCCTGGAGGGAGGGACCCAGCCTGGGACCCTCCTCCTTGCATCTTTTGGGGCGCCGCAGCACCCCGGGGCACTTGCTGACCGAGCTTCCCTTCCCAGGCACACCCAGTGCTGGGCTGTGCAGCGGGGGCGGTGTCTGGTAACCCTGAGGTGTGGGTCACCGCACCCGGGGCCCCTCCCACCTCCCCACGTGACCCAGTCTGCGACCCAGTCCCACTTCCCATTCCCACCTCCAGAACACGGAGGCGCACAACAGCCAGTTCCAGAGCCTGGAGGAGGTGAAGCGGCGCCCGGCGCACCTCATGGCCCTGCTGCACCATGTGGCCCTGCAGTTCGAGCCGGGACCCCTGGTGAGGGCTCGTGTGTGTGTGTGTGTGTGTACACGTTTGTGCGTGTGCGCATGTGCTTGTGTTTACCTGTTGGATGGGGCGGGCCAACATTAGTGGGTGGGGCCAGCGCTGTGGGCGGGGCTGGGGGTGGGCCTCAGCCTTCAGTTGAATGAGTGAGCTCAGTAGCTGCACTGTCCTGTCCTCCCATTGTTCATCGATTTGCTCGAGCGGGCACCAGTAACATCTCACAACAAATTGTGAGACTTGTTGTTACTGTGTTTGGCTATCGAATACCTCACGGGTAGCTTGCCAGTCTTTGCCGTGCGGGCGGGATACTCTCCGTAGCTTGCCGGGCTTTCCAAGAGAGGCAGAGGACTCAAACTCCGGTCGGGCATGTTGGCTGCGTGCAAGGCAAACACCCGACCCGCGTGCTATCGCTCCAGCCTGAGATGCTCAGTAGAGTCTGGAAAAACATCCAGAAGGTTGGGGCTACAGTGATAGCACAGCAGGTGGTAGGGCGTTTGCCTTCCACTAGGTCGACCCCTGTTTGATTCCCAGCATCTCATATGGTCCCCTTAGCCAAGAGTAACCCCTGTGCATCACCAGCTGTGACCCAAAAAGAAAAAAAAAATCCAGAAGGCTTTGTGAGTAGCTGGAATGATAGTACAGTGGGCAGGGTATTTGCCTTGCACGTGGCTGACACTGGTTGGATCCCCGGCATTCTCGACACAATGGGGGCAGGTCCTTAGCACCCCAGTCCTGTACCCTACCAGGATCCCCAGGAGCTCAGTAGGTCATGTCCCTACTGTTTGCCAGCATCACCCAGCAGGGACGCTGTTGAGTGACAACCCCCACTATGCACCAGATTGGACTGGGACACAGCTGGGCCAGAACCCGTCCTCCCCACATCCTTGGACCCCCAGCCTCACTGAGTGCACTGAGTGCACACTGCATTCAGTGGTTCTGACCAAGTGGTGTATGGCGGACGCAGGCTTGCCTGGAATCCAGCCCCAGCTCTGCCCTCACTTGCTGTGCAACCTTCTTGGCGCTCAGTTTTCTCACCTGCAGACTCTAGTCCCAGCCGTTCAACTGTGGATATGTGTTCTCAGCACAGCTGTGGCTGCTGCCAGTGCTGGGAGGGAGGAGCTGGAACCACAGAGCTCAAAAACCAGCAACAATTTGCTGTGGTGGCCCAGGGTGGGGTTGCTGTGGGGGCAGAGCAGCGGGGGGGTGGGGGGGGGCGGGGGAGGTTTGCTGTAAGAGAAGGGAGGCGGGGATGGGGATGGTGGAGCTCAAGGCACATTTCTTGGAGGAGGTGACATTTGGGACCCCGGTGTGTGTTTGTGGGGGTGGCAGAGAAGGCAGGTCACGCTCTTGTCTCTCAGCTCTGCTGCCTACATGCGGACATGCTGGCCTCGCTGGGCCCCAAGGAGGCCAGGAAGGCCTTCCTCGACTTCTACCACAGCTTCCTGGAGAAGACTGCGGTGAGAGCCACGACAAGGGCCTGGCGGGGCAGAGTGCGGGAGGGGTGTCCCCCGCTAGCCCCCAGCTCTTCTCCTCTCACCCTTTTCACTCTGCTGAGCAGGTCCTGCGGGTGCCGGTCCCACCCTCTGTCGCCTTTGAACTTGGTAAGGAGAGGGGGGAGAGGGCTGGGCGGAACTCCGTAGGCCTTCCCTGGGGGACCAGCCTCCAGCCCCGCGTTTCCCCCCCACAGACCGCACGCGGCCTGACCTCCTCTCGGAGGACAGCCAGAGGCAGTCGGTGCAGGAGGTGGTGCAGAGCCAGCAGGAGACCGTGGGGCGGCAGCTGGACGACTTCCGCTCCAAGCGGCTCATGGGCATGACGCCCTGGGAGCAGGAGCTGGGCCAGCTAGAGGCCTGGGTGGGCCGTGACCGCGCCACCTTCGAGGCCCGGGAGCGGCACGTGGCGGAGCGGCTGCTGTCCCACCTGGAGGAGATGCAGTGAGTGTGTGTGTGTGTGTGTGTGTGTGTGTGTGTTGCGGGGAGGGAGCTCCCCTCTTCAGGTTCTCTGTGCCTTGTGGAGTATTTGGGGGGGTTCTCCTGGCGGCTAGAGCTCCCCTGAGTCTTCTGGTTTTGCCTACTTACTTCGGCCCCCCGCTGTCCCCCACTCCCAGGACTCACCTCCTTCCCCGAAGCCCAAGTGCCTACCTATGAGAGACTTATCCTGGTTCTTTGGTCATTGCCCTGTCTCGCTTCTCTCCCTGTCCCGGATTTTTTGGGGAGGGGATCACAGCCAGTGATGCTCAGGGGCTATTCCTGGCTCTGCACTCAGGGATCACGCTTGGCGGTGCAAGGCGAATGCCCTACCCACTGTACTGTGCTTTGGTCCCCTGTCCCTGCTTCTAGAGGGACAGCAGCTGGGACTCTGGTGCTGACTGGATGGGCCCTCGGGGCTTGATAGACATGCCACCAATGTCTGTCTGTCTGTCTGTCTGTCTTCTCCTTATAGACACACCGTCTCTGCGGATGAGGAGAAAAGGTGATGGCCTGAGAGAGGATGGGAGAAGCCCTTGGTAGGGGGTTGGGGTGTGGAGAACTCCTGGGATGGCCCCTCCCCCTGCCCGAAGACCCCCCCACACACACACACACACACTCAGCAGGAAGTGGTTGTGGGTTGGGGAAAGGGAATCTGCAGGGTGCACTGGTGCTCACTCAGGGGCCCACATGCCACCCACCTCCCTGTCCCCAGTGCCGCTGTGGTCAATGCCATCAGTGTCTACATGCGCCACCTCGGGGTGCGGACCAAGAGCTGTGACAAGAAGTCGGGGAGGAACTTCTTCCGGAAAAAGGTGCTTCCCAGGGGCTGGGGCCTTAAGACAATGGGAAGGGCTCTGGCTTTGCACATGACTGACCGGAGTTTGATCCCCGGCACCCCCTATGGTCCCTGAGCCCAAGAGTGTGATTCCTGAGCACAGAGCTAGGAGTCAGCCCTGAGCACCGCGTCGGTTATGGTTCAGAAACGAACAAGGTGCTTTGCTGGCGCCCAAACCAGACTGTCTGAGTCCTCATGTCCTCATATTCGTCCATCCCCACCCCCCGCCACCCTGGGGCATGGCTCTTTGCGCTTTGGGGTCCGGTTCTCCCACACTGGGCTCTGAAGAAAGCCCAGCCTTCCCTCTCGGCCCCTGCCTCCTGCAGGTGATGGGGAACCGGCGGTCAGATGAACCGACCAAGACCAAGAAGGGACTGAGCAGCTTCCTGGAGGCTGCCCGCTGGAACCGGGGGGAACCCCAGGGTGAGGTGCCCCTGCTCAGCCCTCGGACGCCCCACCCTTCCCGGCACCCCTCCCAACAGCCTCACCATCCCGTCTCCTTTCAGCCCCAGATTTTCGACACCTCAGAGCCGATGCTGATGGTATGTCCTGAAGTCACCTGAGGGGGAAAGGGGACCTCCTGGGTGGGGGGACGAACATCTGGGTCTGAAGGAGGAGGTCCGGGGGCTGAGGTCCAAGGAAGAGACGGGTCTCCTGAGTGATGGGACGAAAGGCCAGACTGCAGCATCTTGGACTCTTGCCCTTCATCTCTGGAGCTGTGGACTCAGTTTCTCCTTCCCTCCTTCCTTCTTTCCTCCCTCCTCTCCCTCTGCAGCTGAGAAGCCAGGCTTTGCGGAACGGAAGGGAGGCCTGGGGCTACCTTCCCGGGACCGGAATACCGGGGGCTCCGGGCAGGACCCCCCTGGAGTCTCTCTGCTCCCACCGTCTGGGGACTGTCCAGACCGGGATGCAGGTGAGAACGCCCTGGCCCGGACTCCACAGGGCCCTGGGACCCCCAGGCAGTGTGACCAGTTCCCATTTCCCCCCTCCCCCAAATCCCAGCCTTGTCCCAGGGAGACCACCCCTCCTTGGATCTGGTGTTCACAACCATTCCTCTCTCAGTTTACCCTTTCCAGAGCTCTCTTGCCACCTTGACCTTTAGCCTAGTGAGGGGCCTAGCTCCTTGAACTGGCTTTCCCAGAACCCTCCGGAACAGACTGTCGTCCCCCCTCTCTGCCCTCTGCCCCGCTCTCGGTGGGACATGGTCTCCTACATCTGGGGCCCAGCTGCCTACAGCTGCCTTCGCGGCTGCCTGTCACCCACTGGGGTGCTCAGCTTCTGCCCCCCACCCCCCAGCTGTGGAGGAAACTGAGGCCTGAGTGTGCCTGCGCCTCCAGGGCTCTCCCCACCTGCCCTGTGCTTTTCTTTTCTTTCTTTCTTTTTTTTATTTCTTTTTGAGTCATACCCTGCGATGCACAGGGGTTATTCCTGGCTCTGCATTCAGGAATTACTCTTGGCGGTGCTTGGGGGACCGTATGAGATGCTGGGAATCGAACCCGGGTCAGCCGCATGCAAGGCAAACGCCCTACCCACTGTACTATCGCCCTAGCCCTGCCCTGTGCTTTTCACAGGTGTGGACACTCCTCCGGAGATGGGGGAACTGTCACTGCAGGGCCCCGCCAGCCTGGAGCCCCCCGCCCCCCTGGAGAACGCAGAAGAAGGCGCTGACTCAGAGAGGTGCCAAGGCCGGGCCGGAGGGTGGGGTGCAGGGGCGGACGGGGGCGGGGGGGGGGGGGGGCTTGGGGCTGCTGCCGTGTGTGCCTGCCTGTCCCAGCTGGTTCCTCTCCACCTCTCTCTGTTTTTCCTCTTTCCCCTTTATCTTTTCTCTTTTCTTCCTTTCCTCCTCTCCACTTCTTCCTTCCTTCCTTCCTTCCTTCCTTCCTTCCTTCCTTCCTTCCCTCCATTCTGCCTTTTCCCCCTTTATCTTTTCCTCCATCCTTCCCCCTCTCCACTCTCTCGTCCCACCTCGCTGCCCTTTTCCTTTCTCAATTTCCTCTTCTCCACTTCTCTCTTGCGTCCTTTTCTGTCCCATTTCCTTTTCCCATTTCCTCCATCCTTCCTTCTTCCTCTTTCCTTTCTCTTCCTGCATTTCCTCACTTTCTCATCCCTCTCCCCTTTCCCTTTAAGCCTTGCCCCACCCTGCCCCTGCCCCCCTGCAGCCTGGCTCCTGCTTCCTGGTGCCCCTTCCCTCAGCCCCCCTACCTGTCTTGTGCTCCTTGCCTGGGGGCCCTGTCCCCCTCACAGTTGGGGGGCAGGCTTTGCCCCCTGCCTGTCCACGTGCTGCAGCTTGGGGGACCCTTTGGTGGGTGCAGGGAGGTGAGTGGGTGCCCTCTGGGTCCAACTCTGACCCTGTGCCCTTCTCTCCCCAGAAGGTGGAAGAGGTGGGTGCCTGGGCCCTGGGCGGAGGGAGGGCCAGCCCCTCCCCTCCCCTCCTCTCCCTTGCCTGCCCTGTCCCCTAGTCCTTCCCCTCCCCCTCCCCAGCCTTTCCTTTTCCCTGCCCCTAGCCCCTTCCCCTCCCCAACCTCACCCCAGCCCCCCACCCTTCCAAGAGCTAAGTATTGAAATATTCCCACCCCTGCCCTTGCCCCAGGAAAGGGAGGGGTCTCCGTCTGGGCTCCCCTCCTCTTCCCCACAGGATTTCAGTATCCCTCCTGATCACCACTGTCCCCCCCACCTCCACCCAGCACCCCTGAATCCCACTGCATTCTCTGATTCTTCTCTTTTCTGTTGCATGTCCCTGTTCTGGTCTGTCCTGGTCTGTCCCCGTCCCTGTCCTGGTCTGTCCCCGTCCCTGTCCTGTCCTGGTTTGTCTCTGTCTGAGCTTGTCCTGGTCTGTCCCCATTTCTGTCCCTGTCCTGGTCTCTCCCTGTCCTGGTCTGTCTTCGTCTCTGTCCCTGTCCTGGTCTGTCCCTGTCCTGGTCTGTCCCTGCCCTGGTCTGTCCCTGTCCTGGTTTCTCCCTGTCCTGGTCTGTCCCTGTCCTGGTCTCTCCCCGTCTCTGTCCCTGTCTGTCCCCATCCTGGCCTTTGCCTGCCTGTCGTTGGCCTCGGGATACAGGCTGTCTGGGCGTCTGGGTCGCTCAGAGAGCCTGCGGGTGACTGACCGCCGCCGGCCTTCCCGGGGCAGCTTCGGGGCGAAGGGCCGGGGTGGGGGCCGCTCCCGGAGCGACGTGGACATGGACCCCAGCTCTGCCACGGCCGCACTAGGCCCTGCCCGACGAGCCACGTACGTCTCCTGCCCGTTCATGGAGGCAGCTGGGGAGGTGGGCGGCTGCTGGGACAGTCTCAGGACTGGGGTCGGGGCCGAGGTCACACAGCGCCCCCAGCGCTTGCCAGGGGCCAGGGGGCTGCTTTGTCGAACGTGGGGGCTGGTCTGCATGTGGGGCCTCCCGGCACTGCTCTGAACCTCAGCAAGACCTCTGTCCCACAGCCCCGAGCCTGGGGACGAGGGGGAGCCGGGGCGGCCTGCACAGGACCCTGAGCCCGAGGAGCCCCCTGGCTGGCGGGAGCTGGTCCCCGCGGACACCCTGCACAGCCTGCCCAAGAGCCAGGTGAAGCGGCAGGAGGTGATCAGCGGTGAGTGCCACAGCGAGTGAGGGAACTTCCAGTCAGGAGTTGCGGGATCTGCCGCAGTTAGGAGCCGGGAACACTCTAGAATTGGTTTCTGCGTCAAGCCCCTCCCTCCAAAGACTGTGCCATTGGGTGGGGTGGGGGTGTCCACGGGGTACATTGGGGAAGATGATAGGAGGGCCTGTTTCTGGGCAGGAAAGATGGAATCCTTTTTGACTGGATTCTTTGCTTTTTTTTTTTTCTTTTGGTGGGGGCGAGAGGGGGCCACAGGCCCAGCAGTACTCAAGGATTACTCCTGGCTCTGCACTCAGGGATCATTCTTTTTTTTTTTTCTTTTGGCTCTTTGGGTCACACCCAGCAATGCTCAGGGGTTGCTCCTTGCTCTGCACTCAGGAATTACTCCTGGCGGTGCTTGGGGAACCATATGGGATGCCGGGAATTGAACCAAGGTCGGCCAAGTGCAAGGCAGACGCCCTACCCGCTGTGCTATCACTCCAGCTCCTCAGGAATCATTCTTGGCAGGGCTCAGGGAACCATATGGGGTGCTGAGGATCAAATCCAGGTCTGCTGCATACAAGGCAAGTGCGACCTGTACTGTCTCTCCAGCCCCATCTGGATTCTCTCCTTCAAAGGCAAATTCCTTTGGCATAAGGGGAAACATGTATGTTTGTGGCACTTCCTACATGACATAACTCAGGGCCCCACACAAGCAAGTTAGGGGTTCGCCACTAAGCCACAGTCCTCTCCCCAGCTCCTGTACAGAAGCAAAAAACATTGGCCAGCTTGCTTGGAAACTTTTTCATAGACACCTTCATAGGGAGAAGAAAAGGGTTATATTCCGAAGTTTTAGAGTTGAAGGTGAGTCCTTAAGGGGATCACAGATCTTTTGTTAGGTCTGTAAAAAGGACTGTCCAATAGAATTTTCTGGAATGGGGGAGGGGGTGAAGAGACACTCTCGTGAGGAGGCTGCTTGCCTTGCACATTGACCAACCCCAGTTTGATCCCTGGCAGCCCATATGGTCCTCCGAGCCCTGCCAGGAGTGATCCCTGAGTGCAGAGATCCAGGAGTAACCCCAGGTGTGGCCCAAACACTGCACTGCACTGTAGCACTGTCCTCCCGTTGTTCATCGATTTGCTTGAGCGGGCACCAGTAACGTCTCCCTTGTGAGACTTGTTGTTACTGTGTGTGTGGTTTTTTTTTTTTGGCATATCAAATGCATCACGGGTAGCTTGCCAGGCTTTGCGTGCGAGCGAGATACTCTCAGTAGCTTGCTAGGCTCTCCAAGAGGGGCGGAAATAAAATAAATAAATAGAACTTTCTGGAATGATGGAAAGCCACACTGGCTGCAGTTCCCACCACATCCTGGTGGCTGGTGCACGCAGGCTGGGGGTGGGGAATGACTCAACAGCACATGGGCATCTCAGCTCCTTATCACGGACCTGACTCTGGAGCAGTGTTGCCGGTTGCCGCCCTGTCCACATGGCAGGCTCTCACCAGAAACACACAACACACAAAATCAGGCCTTTAAGTCTGCGGGATCTTCTAGGGCCCGTCGAGCTCAGGTGTGCACCCTTTGAGGGTCCCCAACGCTCAGCCTGGGCCTCGAGGGAATCCTTGTGCAGGAATGTGGGACCGAGGCACCCCCTGACTGGCTGCACCTGACACAGCCATGACTTTGCTGGCCATGGTTGAGCCAATGTGGCCAGATTGCCCACAACCCTCCCGTTCCAGCTGCAGGCCATTTCCCAGGTCTGCCAGGCCAGTCCTGAGTGGTAGTGCAGCCGGTTGCTCCCCGGCTGGCTTCAGGGCCACGAGGGAAAGACAATGACTGGAGGGACCCTTTTCCCCGACTCCCTCCCTCCCCCAGCCTGCCTCTGCCTTTCTGTCTGGGGCGCCCTTCACAGACCATGCCTCATGCTCCCTGGCCCGCAGAGCTGCTGGTGACGGAGGCAGCCCACGTTCGCATGCTCCGGGTGCTGCACGATCTCTTCTACCAGCCCATGGCCGATGGCGGCTTCTTCTCACTGGAGGAGCTGCAGAACATCTTCCCCAGCCTGGACGAGCTCATCGAGGTGCACTGTGAGTGCACCCCCACCTCACTTGAGCCCAGCCTCGGGGCCCCCCCGGAACTTCCGTTGTGGGGTCACATCAGCAAGCATCATACAGGGGTGGGGGCAGGCTCAGCAGACCCCACGGATCAGGCTGGGCTGCTGCACCCTACCCGCTCTTCATAAAGAGTCTGAGGGGCCTTGACAGACCCCCTGCCCCCTGCTTCCTCTCTGCCCCCCGCCCCCTCCCCCTCAGCCCTGTTCCTCAATTGCCTGATGAAGCGGAGGCAGGACAGTGGCCACCTCATCGAGGAGATCGGAGACGTGCTGCTGGCCCGGGTGAGGGTGCCCAGCCCAGCTGGGGGCTGGGATCCCTGCACCCCATCTTAAGCCTCCCCGCCCCCTGTCTAGGCTGCCAGCCCCGTTAGGGGCCCCCTGAGACCCCCCCTCGGCCTGCCTCTCACTGTAGTTCGATGGGACCGAGGGCTCCTGGTTCCAGAAAATCTCCTCCCGCTTCTGCAGCCGCCAGTCATTTGCCTTAGAGCAGCTTAAAGCCAAACAGCGCAAGGAGCCGCGGTTCTGTGCCTTCGTGCAGGTGAGGGGACCTCCCGGGGAGAGAGGCCGTGGCTGGTCCCTACCCCTGGGGCAGCCCCAGCAGGACAGCACCGCTTGTCCCCTCAGGAGGCGGAGAGCCGGCCTCGGTGCCGCCGCCTGCAGCTGAAAGACATGATTCCCACGGAGATGCAGCGGCTCACCAAGTACCCGCTGCTGCTGCAGAGCATTGGGCAGAACACAGGTGGGCGGGGTCTGTCGGGTGGGCGGGGCCGGCGCCTGGGTGGGCGGGGCCAGGGCCGATCCTGGACCACAGGCCTCATCCTCATCTCAGTTCTCTCCACTCTCACCCGGCAGAGGAGCCCAAGGAACGGGAGAAAGTGGAGCGGGCCGCCGAGTGTTGCCGGGAAATCCTGCACCACGTCAATCAGGCTGTGCGCGACATGGAGGACCTGCTGGTGAGGCGGCCTGCGGTTACTGCAGCTGGGACACACACCATACCCTAGTGTGGGGATGGCAGGTCACAGCCTGGCCCCGAGGCACCTCCTAACACTCCCTTCCTTCCACCAGCGGCTCAAGGATTATCAGCGACGCCTGGACTTGTCCCACTTGCGGCAGAGCAGTGACCCTATGCTGAGCGAGTTCAAGGTGGCGCCCCTGCTGGCCCTGCCTGGCTTCCTTGGGGTCCCATCCCCACCGCCTGTCCCCACCTCCCCGGCCTCCAAGGGCACCAACCACCACTTCTTGCCTAGAACCTGGACATCACAAAGAAGAAGCTCATCCACGAAGGCCCGCTGACGTGGCGGGTGACCAAGGACAAGGCTGTGGGTGAGCACCGGGCAGGGGCTGGGGGGGTGAGAGCTCGGGAGGGACCCCCGGAAATGAGGGTGCTGACCGGCCCCGTCCTCCCGCAGAGGTGCACGTGCTGCTGCTGGATGACCTCCTCCTGCTGCTGCAGCGCCAGGACGAGCGGCTGCTGCTCAAGTCGCACAGCCGCACACTGACGGCCACGCCCGACGGCAAGACCATGCTGCGGCCCGTGCTGCGACTGACGTCAGCCATGACGCGCGACGTGGCCACGGGTGAGGCTCGCAGCAGCCACGGGAAGGGGACAGGGGGCAGCTCCCTGGCTGCCGGGGAGCAGGGTTGGGGTGGAGGCACCCTCCAGAGTTGCAAGCTGTGGCGGGATGGTGGGGCCGCGGGTGTTGGAGGCAGACCCAGCCCGGAGCCTGCTTGTATAAGGGACTCCGTGTCGGGGTGACCCTCGCCCCTCGCCCTCCTTGCAGATCACAAAGCCTTCTATGTCATTTTCACCTGGGACCAGGAAGCACAGATCTACGAGCTGGTGGCACAGACTGTGTCTGAGCGCAAGAAGTGAGGGCATCCAGGTTCCCTGCTGGGCTGGGTGACTTGCTGGGTGGGAGGGGGAAACCCGGGACAAGGTGGGGGGTCACAAGGTCTGGGAACTGTGACTGCCCAGGGACTGACCTGTCTCCCCAGTTGGTGCGCCCTCATCACGGAGACCGCTGGATCCCTGAAGGTCCCTGCCCCCGCCTCCCGCCCCAAGCCCCGGCCCAGCCCGAGCAGGTGAGGGGTGCAGCTCTGTGGGTGTGCCCAGACTCTGTCTGTCTGCACCCCACAGCCTTTCAGACCTCCTGCCTCCCCACATATCACTGTCTTTTTGCCCCACCCCGGCCCAGCCAGGCCCATGGGGTGACCTGACACTTCCTCCCCAGCATTCGTGAACCCCTGCTCAGCAGTGCTGAGAATGGCAGTGTTAGCCGGGAGGCACCTCCCGCTGACGGTGAGCCTGGGGGGACCCTGGGGGAGGGGTCCTCAGGAGGCCTGGCTGGATCCGAGCACCCTCCCCTCCCCTGCAGGCCGGATGGAGAAGATTGTCAGTGCCCTCCTGCCCTTCTGCAGACCTGGCCCTGAGGGCCAGCTCTCTGCCAAGGCGCTTCGCAAAGGTAACCCCACTGGCTGCTGCCAGTCTGCGCCCCCACAAGCAGCAGGGGACCCCACCCCAGCCTGTGCCTCCTCCAGGGGGGGACCCTACCCCAGCCTGCATCTCTCCAAAGGGCCTCAAGCTCCTCCATCTTCCATTCCCTCCCCCCACCTCCACTCCTGCCCCACCTTTGACCATCCCCTTGTCCCCTTGTCTAGTCGCTGACTCCCCCAACCCCCCCCCAACCCCTGCAGTGCTGTCCCTGAAACGGCTCATGGCAGAGGAAGACAACGGGGCAGGTCCTCCTCGAGAAGGGGATGGGGGCCCAGAGGGCGGCCCCCCAACATCCACCCGCAACCAGGAGATTCAGGAGGACCTCCTGGACCTGGAGGAGACCATCAAACAGATTGAGGTGCTGGCTGAGGGGGTGGGTGCTGGGGAAGGGGCCAGCTCAGTGGCAGCCACCACTCAAGGCCGGTCCTCCTACAGGAGATGGAGGAGGAGTTTTGTCGCCTGCGACCGGTCCTATTTCAGCTCAGGGACATCACTGCCACCCCGCCTGGCTGCACTTGAGTTTCCCCCCCATCCCAGGCAGGTGAGTGGGGGGTCAGGGGAGGGAGTGCCCCAGAGAGGAGAGACGGCAGCCTCCCACCTCCGTCCGTCTGTCCATCCATCCCTTTCTCGTCTGGTTTCGCTTGTACCCTTCCACTCCCCCTTCTCTCCATCTCACGGGCTTCTCTGTATCTCTCCCCCCGCCCACAGACTTTCCACCAGGAGGAACGGAGGAGAGGCTGTGAGGGCCCCGCACCCCCACCGCACTGCCCGCTGCACCCCAGCCCCAGGTCGTGGGGCCCGGCTGCCTCCCCCCTCCTGCCTTCCACAGAGGGACTCAGGGCTTCATTCCTGGGGGCACCAAAGGGACCTGCATTGTCTGGCCATCTCAGTATTGCCTGGGGGGCCGCCCCTCCCCCCCCCAAGTGCCTTGGCTCTGTTTTTATACCCTGAACCGGAGGTTTATTTTTAATATATATTATCGAGGAGAGGTCTGCGTGTGTGAGGGCGGGGCCGAGGGCGGGCTGGCTTCTGGAATCCATGGCCGTCCTCCTCGTCACTCCTGTGTCTTCTTCATTCCCCTCACGCGTGTTGGTCCGCAGCTGTTCCATAGCACCCCCGACACCCGCTCCCAGCTGCCCCCCGTGGCCCCTGAGGTCACCGCCCCGTTCCTCACGCTTCCATTATTTTATTTTGTAGTAAACTCTCTGGAGGTGGCTGTGGGGTATCACGGGGAGCTTAGTGGGTGGGGGGGCCCTCCTGGGTGGGGGCTGGGGGCGGGGTTATTGCTCTGAGCTCCCTGTCCCCAGGGGGACCTGTGGTGGGGGGAGTGTCGGGACCAGGGCCAGCACAGGGGGGGACACACGGCCGCACAAACACAGGTCACAGCACGGGGGTAGGGGGTGGCGTATTGCACTTCAGGAGGGGGCCGGGTGGGGACCTCCCTCAAACTGGAGGCTGGGGGGGAGGCTGGAGGCTGTCGCGTTCCCTACCCCCATTTCGGGGTTGAGGAGGAGACTGGGGTAGCCATGTATCCAGCCCTAGGATGATGCGGAGGGCTGGACCCCCCCCCCCCCAACCTCAGGTGGGCAGGGGGCGGGGTGGCAAGCCAGCCTCCGCAGAACCCCTCACTTCAGGCAGGCTCAGCTGCCCACCCCTCCTTTCCCCGCCTTGGCCTTGGGGGGCGCGGGAAGCCCCTCCTCGCCCTCACTGTCGGAGCTGCAGCCGCTCACGTCTGTGATCTCCAGCTCGGAGTCGCTGTCCTCCTTCCCGCCCAGCGCCGCCTCTGGGCCCCCTGCGCCGGGCAGGGCCAGGCGGGAGGCTCCTGCCAGGCCTGAGGGCCGCTCCGAACTTAGGGCCTCGCCAGCGGTCGTCAGGAGGGGTGAGGCTGTGGGTCCTGCCCCTGCCCCTGCGAGGGGCAGGTGGCCCAGGGAGCCAGCCAGAGGGTTGGGGTAGAAATGGGACGGGTAGAGAGAGGGGGGCAGCTTGGGGAAAGGGCCGGCGAGGTAGGGATTAAAGTTCCAGGGGTATTCTGGAAAGGTACGGCCATAAGGACCCAGCAGGCCAGGGGGCTTGGAATAGCCAGTGGCACCTGGGGGGGGACACAGGGTGAGGATCAGGCTGGGCCATTCCTGTGGGGGCACCTGGCCCAGCCACTGTAAGAGCTCCAACACCCTCATAACCCCCCCCCACCCCTCTTCCCCCCCCCTCCATCCCACCGCCCCCCAACCCCCTCTCAGCTTCCCCTTTAATGCTCCTGAAAAGCCCTTCTCCCAGCCTGGCACCTGCCACCAGGGGTCCCCGCTCCTGGGCTCAACCTCACACGCGTTCTCTCTCTGGTTTTTTGCGTGCACGCTAAACAAGGCCTTGTCATGCATGTGTGCATGCACAAACATACTGATAAGCAAGTGCACATACCGACGAGCATGTGCACACATGCAGGTGTCCACATAGTCACACACAGGCATACATGCATGCACACGTGTGTGCGTACAGTACACAGGTGCACACACACACACACTGCCCACCCAAGAACCTTTGGCAAATCTCCCCCTTTGCCACCCCCATCCCTGCATCCCAGGCCTCCAGGCCCTTACCAGAGCCCAGGAACGGGAAAGGACTGTCCAGGCGCAGTTTGTCCGCCTCGGGAGTGAACAGGGGTGCCCGGGCCCCCGGCTCGCCCAGGCGCGGAGCAGAGAACAGGGTCTGCAGGGTCTAGAGAGGGAGGCGGGGGAGGGGCGCTCCAGAAGGGCCTGTCCCCAGTTCCCCCACAACCCCCCCCTCCTTTCTCTGTCCCTCTCAGGGCTCACCATGGGGGCTTCCCAGTGTCCAGGAGGCTGGGAGTCTCCTCTCTGCACTCACCTCAGGGGTGAGGGGAGGAGCATCCGGCCCAGGTCCCCCCCCAAAGGGACCAGGGGTCAGCAAGAGTGGGGAGCCGGTGGTGGCTGCTGCCACGTCCAGCAGGGGGTAGTTGACCAACACGACTTTGCTGAAGTTAAACTTGTAGGTGAATCGCTTCCCCTTGGTTTTATGCAGGATCCGCTTGTTGTAGTAGTAGCTGTGGGAGAGGGTGGGATGGGGGGCTGGTGGGGGCGGGCACCACGGGAGGTGCAGGGCGGGTGGGTGGGTGGATGGGTGTCCTGATGTGCTCGGGGCCAGCTTTGTGCCAGACGAGCACAGGCTTCTTCAGGGTCACAGGGTGAGAACAAGGTGGTCAGGGGATCCCTGCCAGCACCACCACAAGCTCCTTCCACCCACGGGGAATCACAGCAGCTGTGAAGTGTCCCGGGCCCAGGGGACAGGAGGGGAGCAGGGCCATGTGCATCCCGGGGCTCAGCTCACCGCAGGGCCCGGCTCAGCTTGTCATAATTCATGTGAGGTTTGCACTTGCGAATGCCCCAGAGCCGAGCCACCTCATCCGGGTCCTTGATGACGAACTCCCCGTAGTCCCCCTGCCAGGCGATGACCCCCTGGTACTCCTCCTTCTGCAGCAGCTCCAGGATAAAGTGCCACAGCTGGATCTGCCTGGAGCCTGGCGAGGACTCGGGCTTGTAGGCCCAGTCGGGGAAGGCGAAGCCTGGGGGAGGCGGGAGCGAGTGTGTCCAGGTCAGGATGCCCAGCGGGAGACTCATCCTGTCTCCGTTCCCCACATCAGGCATCTCAGACTGATTCCCACTCCCCACCCAACCTGGGGTCTGCTCCCTAAATTGTCCAGAGAGGGAGAGAACTGGGAGTCCTGGCCTGTGCCTCTCCTCAGGAGGCTAGCTTCCTGCACCCTGGACTTGGAGGGGGGTGGCACTGGCATGGTGGCGCTGGCATGGGGGTGCTCACATGGAGGGGGCTCTGGCATGGAGGTGGCACTGCGTAGGGGGGCTGTTGTGGGGGGGTGCGGGCATGGAGGGGGCACTGGCATGCGGGGTGCGGGCATAGAAGGGCACTGGTGTGAAGAAGACACTAACATGGGGGCGCTGGTGTGGGGGTGCTGGCATGGAGAGGGGGACACTGGTAGGGGGCAGCTCCAGTTAGAGGGATGGTTGTGCCACCCCAGGACCTGGCCCATTCAGCCCCCCAAACTCTCCCTATCTCCTTCCTATTCCTCATCCTCAGCTCCTGCTGATGCCCCCCCTCCCCTCCCGCACACCCATACATTGTCTCTGCACATTGTCACATCAGTCAAGCTGTGTCTGAAGCTGTCCCCACACACCACGTGTCACCAGGCTTGTTGGGGATAGGGGGTACACCTGGCTCCATAATGGGTCACAGGCACACCAACACCTCGTGCCGAACCCCCATCCCGCGCTCATAACTGGGACCCCCCCCACAGCCTGGCAAGCACATAGCTCCCTCCACACAGACACATACACATACACGTAACCATCCGCACATGCACGTAGGTGCACGCATGTACACACGTGCCCCTCGGGAGCACCCCCAGCTCGCTCAGCTCTCCATGCTCCTCTCATGCTTGACCGCGCCTCCACCTGTTGTACAGATTCACCCTGAAATCAGGTGTAGATAAGGGTCTGACCCAGACCTCCCCACCCTGCAGACAGTCGAGCTCATGTGCACCTGGTGGCTCACTCTCAAGGTCCCTTCCTGAACCCCACCCCACCCCCGGGGAAAAGTTGAGGGAGGCAGTCTGCTGGGCCACCTGTCCAGCCGCCTGCTGGTGGCTATAGGGGGGTACGGGGTTCTGGGGATGGCTCCAGTAACACACCACCTGCACCTGTAGGCCCTGGCTCTGATCCCCAGCACTGCAGAGCCCACAATAAGACGTACAGCGGGTAGGGCATTTGCCTTGCACGCGGCCAACTCGGGTTTGATTTCCAGCATCCCACATGGTTCCCCAAGCACTGCCAGGAGTAACTCCTGAGTGCATGAGCCAGGAGTAACCCCTGTGCAATGCCGGGTGTGACCCCAAACAAAATAAATAAAGACATAAAAATTGAAAACTGGGGCCAGAGAGAACATTTGCCTTGCACATGGCTAACCCAGGTTCGATTCCCCCTGAGCGTTCCAGGAATGGTCCCTAAGCACAGAGCCAGGAGTAAGCCCTGAGCACAGCTGGGTGTGGCCCAAAAGGCCAAAAGAAAAACGAAAAACAAAACTGAAAGTTACAGAAGAAATAGCTCCAAGGGCTGCAGCGTGGGCTTTGCACACAGGAGATTGGGGTCTGGTCCCCACAGCACACGGTTCCATGAGGAGTAAGACACTCATCACCAGCTCCTGACACCCCCAACCATGCATCTGCAAATTTAAGGAGTGGGTGCTTATGTCCCCCTGCAGAGGCCAAGGAAAGCTAGCATCTTCCTCCACAAAAGCTCCTGCCTCCAGATCTTTCTCACCTACACCGCAGACCCCTCTGCCCCCAGAGGTGACATGACACCCGGTGACACAGGTGCAAACACACAGACTGGGAATGCTGTGGGCCCTGTTGAGTCATGCTTGAGGGGACCCCGCACACCAGCACACAGACATGCTGTGTGTGACCAGGCAGTCCCGCTCAGCAACACGCGAATGTATTCAGACACAGCGCCCCCACAGAGGAGGAAGTGGGGGCACCCATTCAGCTAAAACCACCAGATACCCACCCCAACAGCCCTGGAAGACACTCGCAAAGACAATTCCCCAGATGACCACCCCCCAAGAAAGACGTCAGCCGGGTCCCAAAGAGCAGCTGGGGGGGCGCAGGGCACAGAGTAGCTCCCCACCCACAGACACTCCTGCCCCATGTCACCCCTCCTTCCAGAAGTGGGACCCTACACGTCGCGACCCCAAACAAGTGGCTGGCGTGGTCTCCATCCCGCTTTGCACGCACATGCACATACTCAGATGCTCATCAAGGTCCAAGCCGGCCTTGCTGCCCACAGCCCCTCATTCGCTCCAAGCATCCACTTCCGAGGGAGCTGTCCTCACTCCCGGGGTCCAGCTGGCTGGACTGTGGACCCACATGCCCTGCTGAGGGAGTCCCACCTAGCCCAGTGCCCCTGTTCCCAGCCCTGACCTTTAGACCTTCAGTGTGGGGCTGCCTGCTCCCTTGGTTGCAGCTCCTGGGGAAGGAGGCTGAGCCCCGCCCCCTTTACACGCACACACGCGCGCATACACACACACACACACACACGCGCGCATACACACACACAGACACACACACACACACACACACACACACACAGCAGGCTGCTGGCTCCCTGTCCCTCTGGGCTTGGTCCTTCACCTTCTGGTCCCAGCCGGCAGAGACATCAGGCCGTGCTGAAGTTTTTAGCCAAGTTTGTCATAAAAAGGATTGTCTGTAGGGGACCATGAGGGAGCAGGATCTGGGGGACCCTAGAGGCTCAGCGTCAAGAAGGAGGGGCCAGCTGACAGGAAGGGGGGAGGGGTGCGGGCAGTTACCGGGGGTCCAGAGAGCCGGCAGGGCGGGTGGCGCGAAGAGCAGGTCGGAGACACAGCTACAGTCCATGGCAGCGCGGACCCTGCAGAGCCGGGACAGACAGCGGACACAGCGGGAGAGACAGATGGGGGTCAGTGGGGCTCTGGCCAGGCTCCGCCCTCCCCGCCCGCACCTGTCTCTGCCCCCTCCTCCACCTCCCTCCTGCGCCGCCGCTGCCACCTCTCGTTCTTGCTCTTCCTCCGCTCCTCCCCAGAGCCCCCCACCCGTCTCTCTCCAGCTGCCCCAGATTTATCCTGCTCCCGTGCCCCCCCTGTCCGCTGACCCTCCCTGGGCCCGGGGTTCAGGGGTTCAGGTTCCGAGCTCCCCTCTGTCCCGCAGACCCTGAGCCAGCCGGGCCCAGCCCTGCCATCCGCCCCAGCCTCCTGAGCCTGGACACCCCCTCCTTCAACCAGCTTCACTGCAGGGCCCCCCACATGGACCTGCCTCCCCAGCTGCAGCCCCCTACGGCCGGCCCCCCCACCAGCCCCCTCAGCCCCTCAGATGCCTCCTCTCCTGGCCCCTCCGTGCCAGCACCTCCCCCTCGGCTCCCTCCCTCCAGGGTACCCACACCGCAGCCCTCCTCTCCTCAGACCCTCCCCTGGGACGAGGGACAACCCCCCTCCCTAGACAGCACTTTGCTCAGCCCCCTCCTCGGAGGACTCAGCTCCCGCATCACTCCTGGGCACCCGCACTCTTCCCACTGAGCTCCTCCGAGCCCCCGCGCCTGGAGGACCTACAAACAACACCAGAGTAGACTCAGTCTTAGCCCCGACTCTCATATAACACACCCCCTGCCCCCGGGGCTCCCCACTCCTGCCCCACTGTTACTTCTCATCCTCTGTCCTCCCCAGCATCCTGCTCCTCCGGGGGGCTCCCCAAGGCTGCCCACCCCGGTGCCCCGCAAGGTCCTCTCCATCACAGGGGGCCCCACTCAGGCTGGTCTCCATCTCCCCCGCCCCCAGGACCCTTGCACCTCCCCATGCCCCCCGCCCCACGCCCCTTCTTCTGTCCTGTCTCCCGGCTCCGTCATCTCCTGTCCCTCCACATGTCTCTGCCCTTCCTGCTTCTCTGCACGTCCCTCAGATGCTCTCCATCTCGGCCCCTGTCCGGGGTCCCCTGTCCGTTCCTGCCTCGGCCTCCCCTCCCGCTTCCTCCCGCTGCCTCTCTGCGCGCACCAGCTCCCCGCACCTCGCCCCGTCCACTCTCTCCCGCCTCCCGCTTGCTGCCTCTCCGGGCCCCCCTCCTCCCGCCCCTCCCCGCCCCACCCCCTATGGCCCCTCTCATTTCCGTGTTGGTTTTGATTTCTCTTCCCGACGCTTTCAACTCCCCGCCGCCTCCTCCGGACACGTTATAACGAGGAGCCGTGGGATCGGCGCTCCGGGCCCTGCTCCCACGCTCCCCCCGCCGCCGTCTCTCCCGTCTCTGCCGTCTCGGGGCTCTGTGGCAGCTTCCCGGTGTCTGCTCACCCATCCCCCCAGCCCCCAGTCCCATCCGACCACCAGGACAGGTCCTCTTTCCCGGTCTGTCCCGCCAGGACTTGTCCCCTGCGTGTCCAGCCTCTCCTGCGCTCTCTCATCTCCTCTCTCCATCCCACGTCTGTTTCCGTCCCACTGTCCTCTCCTGGGGCCCCTTTGATCTTGCCCTGCCCCTGGCGCCCCCCTGGCCCCATTGATTGCCTATCGACCAAGGGAGGGAGGAGGGCTGCGGGGTGGGGGGCACAGGGCTGGACTGGGGACGGCTCAGACAGCCAATGGATGGACCGACAGACAGACGGACAGGTAGACAGGGACAAGCAGCCCAGCCCAGTGACTGCGGAGGGGCTGCGGCTGCATGGACCCCCTCCCCACCAGCCCACACGGTGCGGATGGGGACTCCGGGCAAGCTTTAATTTTTAATTGTATTTTGCTTCCTCCACACACACACCCCCACCCGCCCCCCATCTCCACCGCCCGCAGCCATGGCACCAAATGTGTGTGTGTGTGTGTGTGTGTGTGAGCGCGTGCGCGTGAACATGTGTGTGCACAGCAGAATGGAGGAGGATTGGGCAGGAGGAGGCTGCTTCAGTCTCCGTGCCAGGCAGTCACACGGACCTACACACCATCATCACACAACCACACTCCACAGAGGCCCACACAGCCACAACCATTACATCGCACAGGCTTACACACACCATCACACAGAGCACAGAGACCCACATAGCCGCCCAGACAGATTTGCCACCACGTCACAAACATAATACAGACCTACATATTGAAATAGTCACACATGCCATAAGCATCTCACACAGACTCACAGTTTCCCAGACATGGAGACACACAATTACGCACAGAGGAACACACTAGATGCACAACTCAGATCCACAAAGACCCCCCCAAATCAGAAGTCCCACCAGTATGGACCCAGGACTCACCCAGCAAGGCTCACAAGCATAGGCACATGAGCAAACACTGACAACACAAGTACACACATACACAGACACATGAGCAAACACTGACACAGACACACAAGCACACAGACACACAAGTGCACACTGACACAGACACACAAGTACATAGACACACAAAGCACACGGACACACAAGCACATGCAAACACACAATTCACCCTGACACAGACACACAAGTACACACTGAACACACAGACACATGCACACACAGACACAAGTGCACACTGACAGACACACAGATACATAAATGCACACTGACACAGACACACACACACAGATACACAAGTGCATACCGACACAGACAAACAAGCACACAGAGACACACGGACACACAAACAGACACACAAGCACACACAGACACACAAGCGCCACACCGACACAGACACACAGCTCACACTGCCACAATGCCTTGCCGAGCAGGCGTTGAGTCAGAGCCTTGATGCCCCAGGCCTGAGTTGCTCAGTCCCCAGCACCACACTCCCACCCAGTGACTGAGGCCTGAGCACTGAGGCCAGAGCAGCAGCGTGCCACGGGGCCCAAGTCCTGAACTGTGTGATGAGTACCACCCTGGGCCTGGGAGGTGGCCCTAAATCAACGAGTAAAGAGAAATATACCAGACACACACTCAGCTCAACACAAGACCCAGGGGCCACACAGATCTGCACCCGAGCCAGGGCATAAGTACCCCGAGTGCGTGGACGCCCCACACCACCACAGGTGAGCCACTGCTGACCACACACACACACACACACACACACACATGCACACACACACGCACATACATGCACACATATGGACCATGGCCGCATGGAGCCGCCCAGCAGCGCCCACGGCTTGCTCAGCCGCCCCGTGAGAGACCGGCCACTCAGCCCAGCTGCTCCCGCCATCATCTGGCCGGCCTGACTGTCCCTCCACTCACTTGCCACTTCCCTCATGCTTTGGTAGGTGAGTCTATGTCAGCTTCTGTGTTTACTTTGTTGGTTGTGGTCCACACCCAGTGGTGCTGGGGCCCATCCAGTGCAGTGCTCAGGATCCCCCCTGTGTTTGGGGAGCAAGTGGTGTGTCTGTATGTCACAGCTGCGTGTATGTCAGTGCGCGGTGTCTGTGCTTGTCTGTGCATCGATGTGCCCAGGCATATCTGTACATGTGTGTCTCTGTGTGCCTATGCATATGCAAGCTTGTGTGTGCACATGTATCTGTACTTGTCTGTGTGGATCTATGTGCACATACATGCCTGTACACGTGTCTGTGCATGCACGTGTCTTGTGTGTGCATGTGTATGTCTGTGTGCTTTTATCTATGTGCACGTGCATACCTGTACATATGTCTGTATGTGTGTACGTGTCCTGCATATGTATATGCACGTCTGCATGTTTGGGCGTATGCATGTATGTGTGTATGCATGTCTGTGAACATGTAGGTCTCTGCAGGTATATCTCTACGTGCTTGCCACGCACACCGCTGTGGGACAGGTGTCCCCCTCCCCGCCTCCCGAGCCCCACTGAGCTGCTGCCCCCTTGCCTTTGTTGCTCCAGCCTCTGCCTGTCCCCGTGTCTCCCTCTCCCGGTCTCTGGCATCTCTGCCTCTGTCTCCTCACCCCATCACCCTGGCCCCCTGGGCTGGGGTTTAACCAGTTGTTTTGATTTCTCTAAGCTGTGCCGGCTGCCTCTGGAGCTGCCTCAGGCCTCGCAACCCACCCCCAGCCCCTTCATCCCTCACCCGGCACCCCCACCTCCCCTTAACACAATCTGCACAAGTGGAATGAAAATTGATTTTTTTTTTAAATTTCATATCTTCTCCGGGGCTCTGTCTAAAGAGGAGAGAGACGCGGTCCGAGACCCTTCTGCTGCCACCACCCCCAGAGCACACACAGGCAGGGCCCCCAACACACACAGCAGGCCAGACACCCCAGCACATCCCACGCTCCCCTCCCCAGCCCACCCTGGGGAGACAGTGGGGGGCCTGGGGCACACAACCTTGGACCCACACGACCACCACACACCCCAGCATCACACACACATACCCCAACACCACACACACCCCCAACATCACACACCCCAACATCACCCCCCAACATTACACAGCCCAACATCACACACATCCCATCACCCATGTACCCCAACATCATATACAACACACGCCCCAGCATCACACACACCAACATCAGCCCCCCAACCCCAACGTCACACACCCCAACATCACCCACACACACCACCACCCACTACATGACACACACATCATGCACCACACACAATGTACACACACCACCCACACACACCATCACACACATCAACATCACACACACAAACCAGCACTACACACCAAACACACACCACACACACCAATTTGACCCACATCACCACCATACACACCCCTATCACATACATATTACCACACACACCACCACACACATACCACACACACAAACATCACACAACCACACCCTAATACCATACACAGACCACCACACACAAACATACACACACAGCACCATACACACCAATACCACACATACCACCCACACACTATCCACACTCTCACCAACACCATCCACACTCACACGACACGTATCACACACCAACACATTCACACTGCACA